ATCTATAAAGGGAAGTAATGACGAAAATGAAGCGTTATTGTATCGGAGTTACTGCGAAGGAGTCGTTATAGTAGCACCGAATAGTTCATTATTATTCTCGAATGCCCACTTTATCTCATCTCTGCCACTGTTCGGGACGTTTGCGATTCCCGCCGACGATTACGAAAACCTTTAGCAAACTTTGCATCGTGGGCGCGGAGATACACGGTAACTGTCTATCTACCGCGTCACTTACGTTGCATGAAAGAACCTCTAATGTCAGTTAAGATGGGCGTTTGTGTGACCACTCCATGCGTACCATAGTTGTGAGCCAGTCCCAAAAGCAGCAGTCCCGGCGGCCAGCCTGCAGGAGAAACTTCTCTAACTGATCACCGCAGTTTTTATCTCTCTCCCCCCTCTCTTTATAGCTTTAGTATACCGCTACACAGATACAAGAAAGACACGAAGGACACGAGCGCTAACTTCCAACTCCTTCGTGTCCTTCTTGTCTTTGTGTCGTCGTTCTGTTCTCGCGCTATAGCTATCGTCCTGTCATACCAGCTAGCCCAAGCTGCTACACTTCTTAGTACCGCTCCTTAATCTAACGTGCAAGTGGTGTATGGTACATTCCTGTTTACCTAAAAGCAGTTAGGGGGCCTAGAATCGCAGTACTAACGCTAAGTCCCACAAAATGCCAACGAAAATGTGACAGTCTGCAAGGATCGCGGCAGCTCGCCTGTTATCTTCTGTCAACCCAATTAATTACACTCCCTAAAACAACCGTTGCCCACTGCTACTGCGAGCAATTGAGATATACTTTCATTTATCTTCTGAAAACTCTCGAGTAAGCAGAGCTTTGCTTATATAGAGAAGTGATTCTTAAGAGAGAAAAGAAGAGAAAAGTGAGCCCTGTAACTGTCTGCTTCAGTGAGTGACACCTCAACAGTAGCTCATAAGGGATGGGGGTGAGGAGGGATAAAAGAAGTGCTTCCATCTTTCCTATCTCTTCTATCCCCTCAGTTTGTTGTCGCTCGCTCTGGCTTACCACCTCATGTCTCTTCCTCTCTTCTTTGCATATTAGTCGAAGCTTACAACTCGAAGCCCCTCTCTTCGTGCGACAGCGTTTGTCTCCAAGCTCTCACTGCCCGAGCGGGCGGGGAAAGAGAGTGATCACCCGTTCGGCGAAAAGTCAACAGTCGCATCCTTTTCTGCGACTTGGCTGTCGGCAAACGACTGCCCTCCCTCCCCCACTCATTTTGTTTTTCTTTTTCTCGTCCTGTTTTGTACCTCCGGGAAGTACGGCTGTGTCGTAGCCCCGCTTCTCGTCCTCCCCAAATTTTCCTCTCGTTGTGAGTCACCCCCACCTTCGGGGGACCTGGTCCTAAACGACGTTCAGCTGTGATGGGAAAGTGACGGACCGTTCGAAACACGGACGAGTCGTCTCGCATTGGAATGCGCACCGTAGGTCTCTAAAGAAAGCCATCCTTGAAGGAATTCGTTACCGCCGTTATTGTAACCATGGTCCTTCAATACAATATTGAAGGACCATGTTGTAACTAACCGCACCCGCATGTACTCGATTTGCTGCGCACCAAAGATGTGTTCGGAAGCTGGCTGGAAAGCGAACGAATCACGGCCACACGCGAACGGTGCTTTGTCGTGTAAACAACGCCGATTTCTTCCCTAAGTGGTGCCGCAGATTTTATAAGCTGTGAAGCTCGCGAAACAGGACTAAAGTTTTTAGGAGCGAAGCTCCTTATGGCGTGGCTTGGGCGTCCCTCGTATGTAACCACCAGTGGCACATACCCGAAATAGGTATAACACTTGACCTCCAAGGTGGTGCCAGTGAGAGATTTCTTCTGTGCGTTGTTTAACAATAAAAAATAGTGCTCAATGTACATGCCAATGGCTGCTAATGGGGAATGAGAGACATGAGCATTCGGCTTTTAGTCAACGCGCACGCTGCGATCCCCATTAGCAGCCATTGGCGTGTAAATTGAGCCCTATCTGACAGGGAAAGGTTGCTACGTTATACTCGCTGGGCGTAACCTCCTTGGTTTCCGAAAGGTTTAGCGAGCGTTTGGTCGCAGTGCCATGAATACAGTGAACTAGAATATACCATGAACTCGAGGTGGTTAAAGGTGGGAAGTGGACCCAAAGCGCAGGCCGTAAGAAAGTGTGCGTGTGCCACCTCTCGTTTAGTCCTTGGAATGTCCGCTGGATGGCGGTGCTTCTATATAGGGAATATATGATAAAAAGATGCGAGATGGTGGGACTTGGAGTGTTGAATAGATGAACGAACGGACACACAAACAGATGCATGGATGGACGCATGAACGGACGCAGGGGCGGATGCACGAAAGAACGCAGGGACGGGCGCACAAACAGACGCATGGACGGTCACACAGACGGACGCATGGACGGACGAATGCTTCGCCCCACTCTCCATCATTCACTCCGTGGATATGCTGCCATTTTTTTCCGTTACATTGAAGTTCGCGAAATCGGGTATTCGAGCAAAATTACTTTTTGCCTTCGTTCGTGTCGGGGTTATGAACTACTTTTGCCTGAGCTGCTGATCACTAAAGGAAGGGGGCTGCCGTTGCTCAAATATCAGCGAAAGCTGTCCGTACTTCAGAATCCCCCGCCCCCTGACAGCAGTGTTGCGGCCCGTTCCGTGCACGGAGGCATCGTGCCGTTCGCTTCAAGATGCCTCGTTTCGCTCTTTCCCGCCAGCGCGTTCTTTCACTTTCGTCAGCTGGCGGCGGCGGGAGAAAGCATCCGCGCCAAGGAGGAACAGCGCGGCTTCCTGCAAGGCGCTACCTCCTCCACCGTGAACTCTTTTCCTCGTCCCTGTTTCTCTTCTCGCTGCGCGAAACAATGGGGCGAGAAGCGGGAAGTGCGCAGCTGTGACACATGCTGCGTAAGCGTGTCCTTGCCGGCGTTTCCTCAATATACGTCGCTGCGGCTGCATTTAGAACGAAGCGACGACGACAGTGAAGTCTTCGGTGCCGTACCACACCGAGATATTCGATCCCCGAGAATAATGGGAAAGTGAAATAAGCACTGACGTCACTGAAATCTCCATGTTTGAGTAGCCACACGGTAGGACGCCAAGTCTGGTACGTCGCATGCAACTTCTTTCGTTATTAAGAGGGCATTTGCGTTCCGGTAGCTTCTGCATTGCACTGAAGCACGTTAACCGTCACACGATAATCTTAACCAATAGGCCTAATCTTCACGAGCGAATCGTAGCCGTGCAGAGCGCCCGCGACAGGGCTGTTACTGGACCTTCCGGTCCCCACGGGGGAGTAGCCACTGGGCAATTTCAGCGCCTTCACTCGACTCTAATAAAGTTGTGCTCTCTCTTTCCTTCTCATGCACTGGTGCTGCGTCGACGTTGTCAGAGCTTCCATGTGGCTACGCCTCCTGATCTGCATGTGAGAGTGCCAGTAAGTTGGGAGAGTGCGTCCGTGTCGTCACTCGCAAGATATCAATACATTGGCGGTGCTGATGACTCGGCATTGCTATAACATCCTGTTTGGCATGTGATGTGCAAACTGAACGGTCGTTATAGTGTATACAAACACACATACACACACGTGGATGTTATATTTTGTGATGTTTGTGAGGAAAAACACACTAATGAAAAAAAAAACACTCAAGCCATGCGACACTATGGAAAAGAGGCTAAAAAGTATGCCGCGTTGAGGAATGTCGACTCGCATTGCGCAATTTGATGTAAGTCTATCGTAGGCCATTGCTTAGCGAGGCTGTGAGTCGGAAAGACAGACGGGTGGCGATTCCGCATTGTTATTCGTCGGCTGTCAATAACAGCCTTCCGCACGTGCATATTTTTTATTATGAATGTGATCATCGCAGAAATGCGTGAATGTCCAGTTCGTTTACGTACAACAGAACGAACATTTTCCTTTCATCAAAGCGCGTAGTAAGAATAGCTCAGCGTGCGCGCACCATTCATATCACAATAGACACACCTTTTCTTGAAATTGCGACGAAAAAAAAAATGCCTGGCTTGCTACATCTTCATCTGTTTTCCATTATCTTCTCCCGGAGGTCACACTTTCCTGTCCCATTTATATCGACGTGCAGAGGGTGGCTACATTCAGCTCCTATGTGCGAAGATCCCGCGCGTGGCGAAATTCGGAAACGTACGACGCACAACGCCAGCGTCCCTCTCTCCAAGCGAAAGCTCTTGTACCATGAGTCATCACTTCCGGCTTGGCCGAAGCCCAAATGCGGCGTAGAGCTACGCCGGTGCAATGCACAGGGTGTCGAAATCTTCGGAACCGGTGATACTTATATACTTATGAATATGCACGGCATGGGCCGAACGAGCTGCGCCCCGGCGTGAACGACCACGAGACACGGACGGTGCCATAAAAACGCGGCTAAACGCCCCGGGCTCAAGTTTCGGGCGTCTCGCTCCACGGTGTATCTCGCTCTCGACATGGCGTAAGCCGAAAAAAAGCAAGCTTCCACTATTTTTCGTGCTTCTTTCCGGTGGAAGGAAGAGGAAGAAAAAGATCCGTATCACGGGCCTTTACGTACTGTTCACTCGTGCATGACGCTGCTGATGATGATAACTGTGCATTCGTATGGGACCTCTGGTGGTGGTATAAATATAATTTTTTCAGCTCCCCTTTATAAAGCATGCATAAAGATAACATTTTGGGGCATTTAACCCAAACCTCTGAAGTTGGCACTCACCGAAGTAAAAGCAAAATGCAATTACACGAAATAGCTTTCCCAAACTTTGTTTTACTTATCCACCACCTCGACCGACGCTTGTTTATTTTTTCATGATAAACTAGCTCGAGCGATGTTTCATGAATGATGTATACGGACGATAAGTGCCCGACGCGGTAGCACAGAACACCTATATACTACGGTGGTATAGTCTCTGATGTGCGATCCCATGCACGAAGTCGATTTCGAACGACGCGCTCTAGGCTTCTCATGTGCGAACTTCGATAGGGGCGAAGGCATGCATGACTCACCTAACATGAGGAACGGTGCGGCCATGTTGATGCCGATGAACTCGAGTCCAAGGTAGATGACCATGCCGAAACCGGCTATGACCGATACGGCGGCCGAAAGGCAGCCCAGGATTCCAAGCCAGGGCTTGCTGCGCACCGCGTCGCGCATGAGGCACGTGGTAACCGTGAATATGAGCATGATCACCACGGTGATGCTGAAGAAAGGCGTCACCGTGGTCGTGTTCTTCTCGAGCTCGTCGGCCAGCGACCGTGAGGTGAACCAGGCCAGCTTGATGTGGTCGAACTCGAGCGACTCCATCAGGTCCAGGAAGGCGTACTCCCAGGCCTGCGATCGTAGGTTGGCCTTGCGCGAAGACGTGTCCAAGTAGTAGAACATCGCCATCGCCTGCACCGACTTGATGAAACCATCGGCATCGCGCTCGATGCCTCCCATCAGGGCGCCGGTGAAGTAGATCTTCTGGCGCGCCCGGTCTATCCGGAGCGGGTACTCCAGCTTGAAGGTGCCGTTCTCGATCTGGTCGATGTACGGGTAGAAGTCGAGCAGCTCGTTGGGGTAGCAGAAGCGGCCGTCGCGCGCACATATCTGCTCGTACACCCAAATGTCGTCATCCCAGAGGACGGTCATATTCTTGATGATCTGGTCCAGGAGCATGATCTCGTCCCACACTTTGCGCGTCAGCAGGTTTTCGCCGTCGCGCGTCATCACGATGAGGCGACCGAACTTCTCGGGCTTCGTCTGGCGACCGATGTCGAAGTTGAACGATGTGTTCTGCGGGAACAGCGCCTCGACAATGCGCCGCTCGTCGTGCGACCGGCCGTTGACGGGGCTGAAGAGGTACTCCGGGTCGTCCACGTACACCATGCGCTGAATGCCCGTAGCCAGACACGCAGCCACGAGCAGGGGCACGATGACGAAGTAGCCCGGGTAGCGAGCGATGAATTCGCCCACCACCTTGAAGAGCCACGAGACGGCACGGTCCACGCAGTCCATCCGCATCTTGGCTGACTCTGGACGCCGCCTGGCAAGAAACCACCACAAAAACCAGCACACACCGCACGCACCGCACCGCACACAGACGCACTCGGCGAGGCCGCCACTCGAGGCTGGTCCGAGGAAAAAAAAAGCGGGACGTACGCTACGCTACGTCGTCGCCGCCAGCGCCGACGCTCTCTGGTCGTGTTCTGTGCGGCAGCACGCGTCGCGAAGAAGGAGGCCCCTGCTGCCACCTTGGGCGAGGAAGAGGGCGAGAGGAGAGTTGTAAAACTTCCTCTCGCTTCTTCAGAGGACGAGAGGGGCGGTCCTCTTTTCTCTTTCTTCCGCCGGCAGGCAAGCAGGTAAGCCAGAAGCCAGGTGGCAAGGTCGGCGCTCCGATTGGCCCGTACGGGTGTGCTCTCGCGCGCACAAGAACTTGTGCCGCAGTCCTATGCGTCACGCGATTAAGTGGTGCGTCAACGTGATGCTTATTTACCCTGGCCCACACTGCCGGGGCCGGTAGTGTAGCTGTCCACTTCGTTAACAACTTCTCCGGCCCCGAAAGTATACTCTCGGTGAAGTGATTACACAATGTTGCTGAATTGAACCGCAACGTTGAGTCATCCAAGCGCGCGATACTGGCGCTTCAAGTAAGCTCAAACCTGATAGCACGCGAGGACCTCGGAAACCGTGTGGTCTCGCAACGCAAGCACGTCTGGGTCGCCGATCGCAGTCAGAACTGGAAATCGCGGGGTAATGTCCCTGGATGTCGACGTTATTCGAGAGTCCACCCGTCGGGGCGTCCTTGGGCTGACTGAGAGGAATTTCTAACACGCGCAAATGGCTCACCAAGGCTTCGCAGCTCTTAAGACACAATGTTTGTTACCCAGGAAAGTGACCATTACCGCCGGGTTTCTTTCGTCACGACTACCCATGGAGAGCAACTAGAAAGAAAAGTTAGGTTAATTGGTATTTGTAAGCAAGAGTAGTTAAAGGGTGACACTACAGTGATCGGAGGGGGGTTTAGTGAAATATAGAAAACGAAAACCAGGAAGATCAGGTCTCGATGACCTCTTTCACGCAGGCACGTTTCAGCTTTATTTATTTAATAATGTAGATGTCTCCAAGGGAAAGATATTGCAAGAGGGAGATATCATGAGTGATATTAAAAGAGCACGAAAATCATGCAGGCTTCAGCGTAGAAAAGGAATTGATGCTAATTATACTGCGTTAGAAATAACACATCGTATCTGGCAAGATTAAGTGAGCGACGTGGAATGTGCACGAGAAATAGTCATTCCGTGGAAAAGGAATGCACTGTATTTCAAAAGAACCAATGTTTAACGCACATGGCAAGATTTAAAGAGCTCTTCACGCTCACAAAATAAACAGAAAATGTGATAACAGCGTAGCGTTAAAAAACGTTTAGAAACCGGTGACATTGTGCTGCGGTGTTGCGGCGCTGCTTCTGGGGCGAATTGTTAATGGGAATGTTTCACCCATGTTATGTCTTTAGTTAAAATGAATGTTTTGAAAGTCACACTAAAGGGAAAGACATCGTTGCACTTGCATTAGTAAATTACCCTTTCACGGTGACGAAAGTGACAACGGTGCGTTGACAAGACATCTTGAGAAACCGAGGAAGAGAATACCAGCGGAGAAACAGCATTGTTGTTACCGCACATTTAGAAGAGGTGATGCGTTTCGACTATGTATATATGCTAATGTCTGCATGAGTCTGTATTAATAAAGATCAATTGTGTTATGTTTCGAAAGAGCCAGAGACCTACAGGACTTTTTGTCCTATAGGTCTCCGCGAATGCGCCCGCCCCCTCTCAAAAAAAAAAAAGAACATTTAGATGTGATGTCCCACTCGCATTCGGATGCCGGGGCAACACCACAAAATTTAAAACTGAAGCGTTCTCTCTTTTTATCATTTTATACTAATGAACATATGATTGGGCCATCAACAACTATAGCGTTCTTATAATGATAGTCTGAACCGAACGGGTGAGTCTTTATAGTGTCCCTTTAACAACGTCGTTTGCATTCTCACCTTGACAATGAGGCATGCGGCTGCAGTGGGCGAGATCAGCGCGGCCTGGCGCAGGAGGCGTTATTTTATGCGCACAGAGACAGCTTCACGCACCTGTGTGGTCTGTCACCACTGCGTCGATGGGGACACGTGGCAGTATGCGCTCGATGAGATCTCCGCACTTCTCTTTCACACCACCTTTTCCCGCGATCAATTTTTTTCCTCTTTCATTATAGGCTGAGCCGAGATGGACATACCGGCGCTTCGTGGCGTGCCTGTAACTCTGCAATACTAACAGCGCGACTCGCCTCGCACGGATACATCCATGGCGGAGTAGTCAGCAAGAACGGTGGTCAGAGCGAAAAATGATATGAGGGGACTCTAAAGTGAATAAGCAAATCAGTCAAGACAGATGAATAACTCGTTCGGAACCTTTTCATTAGTTTCGCATCATAGTATAATCTCCGGAAGAAAAGTGTAGGTCAAAGTATCATTTTTGAATTTCGCACCAAAGCATCGGCAAGTTTGCGTTAGTGCGACATTGCGATTTTCAAACTTTTTCTGTATGTTTCAGCTACATCCGTTTAATGAAAATTCCTGCGTCAACTATACTGTATAGAAAGCAGAAGTGTTGTTTTAAACTCCCGTGTACCTTTTAAGGGCGATGCTCCTTAAGGTCGAGCCATGTCCGCCGTCGTTCATCGATGACGTTGATGAAGAACAAGTGCGTTCGAGACCACACATTCTTTTTCTCTCATCACGTCACAGGACATGCAAGGTTCCCTCTATACGTTATGACTATGGCGCAAAACGAAGGCAAGGCGAAATTCATAACTCAACACACACAACATATATCATTCCTGACCAATAAACGTTGTAACTATGCACCGCTTTATTACTCATTTACATGCGCCAGTAGTCAATGTCACGGGTGATTTACAGTAACGCAGAATGATCCCACTACTTCGCCCCCTCATTATCATTCACATCGTCTGTATGCCATGATTTGTTCGTGTGTTCTCTTCTTTCTATTTCCCTATGTAGACCTTCTTGCCTTTCCTTCTTCCTCCTCCTCCTCCTTGCTATCCTAATGCGTTCGGTTCCTCGGAACTCTGCAAACAATTTTCACCAATTAACAATTGCGTAGGCCCTAGTGAACGCTGTAAGAATTTGTGACGTCATAAAGAGCCGGCATGCGGGAAGGTGGCGTCGCCACCTCTGTTTTCTTTTCGTGCCGTATTTCTGGTAAGGGTCTTTTTATACATGGGCATGCAGGGCTATATTTGCTACTGTACTGTTATCATTGGTGCGCATGCGCGGAACCGGAAGGTATTTCCGGAGTTTGCGGCCCTTCTCTCGCGTCTTTGAACTTTATACGTCGTGCGCCGTGGCCACTTGTGAGGAACTTCTGCAGATCGTATAGAAGCATCTACGCAGACATGATCATCTTCATTAATAACCATGTCAAAGTCGGACCCCCTCCCCCCCCCACACACACACACAATAGATGGAACTTAACATAGACCCGCGCCTGAAACTGATGATGTTGCAGCGGAAGGCATGGGTTGTTGAAATGGGGTGTCACAAGGTGTTGATCTGATCCGTGTCCTACATTGAAGGCAATGAACACAGTTCACTGCTTGTGTATTCGGCTGTATTCCACTCAGTGGTACACTGGTTACGGCGCTGGGTTGCTCAGCAGTAAGTCACGTGTTCGATCCCTCCTAGGGCAGTTTCATTTCGATGGAGCCTATTTCATACAAAGTGCGCATCTAATGCACATATGCACACAGTATTATGCCTTAAAGGCAAGACTATGTAGCAATAAAAAAAGACAAAATGTCCGTGCAATGGGTGATGTCAGTGCACGTCAAAGAACAGCTACTGGTCGAAATTTCCGGAGCCCTCCGCTGCGACATGCCTCGTAATGACGTCGCTGTTTTGGCACGCAATACCACCGACATTGTTTATTAATTGGCGTATTTGGTGGTTAGTTTGGTGTGTATTATTATTATTATTATTATTATTATTATTATTATTATTATTATTATTATTATTATGTGAGGGCTGGGCGGGCTAGATGTTGTGAGGGCTGGGCGGGCTAGGCATGAAGGCTGAGAGGCGTTGTGAACGAGGAGAATGCGCTTTATTCGAACATGAAAACGTGCCGACCGCGCCGGAGGCGGGAGCGAGATTGATAAAAACGTGTCCCCGGCCCTCGCTTGGGCTTGGAGTTTATCTGAGTAAAGGCGCCGCAGGTGGCGCTGCCGATTAGATAGGCCGCTACGCTATAGTGCGCATGCGGGCGCTCACATCCGGCCCCTCCTTGTCTGACCAAGTCCCATTGGTCTAGGAAAGGAGCACTACTTGGTGGCTTCACTGCGAGAGAGAATAGTCCTTCAAGCGCTCGGGTGGGCGCTTTTGGCGGTGAGGTCGCGAGGAGGGTACCGCTGGAGGCAAAACTGCAGGGCCAAGGGAAACTGGTGGTTGAGATAACTCATTGCCAACACTGGGAGAGCCAGATAAGTCACACAAAGGCCACTCTTGGGTTTTCACAATGTAAGGCTCGACATAAGGTGGCACGTAGTGCTTGAGTTGAGAGACGTGCACTATCCTGTCTTGGAGTCGATCACGAGGACCTTGACCAGTTACGCGGCTAACGACAAACGTAACGGGTGTTTTCTGGTTGGTGATTTGGTATATTCCCTTGAATTTGGGTGCCAACTTTCCAGTTCCATCTGCTACAGGCTCTTGGCGGCGCACCCAGACGAACTGGGCGACTTGGAAGGAGTGGTCTCGATGGGACTGATCATATGCTGTCTTCCGTTTCCCTTGTGCTTCCTCGGTATTACTTGCTGCTACGGCCCGGTTCTGAGACAGCATTAGGAGACGGTCTTGTAGGGTCCTGGCTGTGGCGGGACGGTGGCGTTGATATGGGAGCTTGGGGACGTATCCATACAGTAGTTCAAATGGAGAGAAACAGCTGCTGGCGCTATAGCTTGTGTTGATGGCAAAAGCAGCTTCTTCGAGTTTGCTTGCCCAGGAGGTCTGGTCCGTTGGACACAGCTTACGAAGAACGGAGACTAAAGTCCCATTGCTTCTCTCTACAAGACCATTGCTGGCTGCGCGGTATGCCACTGAATAATGAATCTCGGCACCGTGCATGTGCATGAAGTGCTTAAA